GATTTTCCGGCGCCGGCCGGAACCGGCCCCGAACCCAGCCCGAGCGCTGGCCCGGGCGCCGGCTCGGGCGTGCAGCTCGGGCGCCGGCGGAAATGATGCCAGCGTTGCAACGGGAGCACAATTCGGAACGAGCGGGGCCCGAAAATGAGGCCGGCGCCTCAGCGACAGCAGTTTTTTTTTTTTTTTTTTTTTTTTTTTTTTTTTTTATTTTTTTTTTTGTAAAAAAAAATGCAAGCGAAAACCCAATTCCCGGGAAACCTGTGTGTAAAAAACAGTACGCGGGGGGGGGCGGATATTTTCAAGCCGTCATCAGGGGAAGAGGGAGAGTAGTATTCATATTGAGTAATATTGTGGAGGGAGGAGGAGGAGGAGGAGGAGGAGGAGGAGGAGGAGGAGGAGGTGGAGGAGGTGGAGGAGGAGGAGGAGGTGGAGGAGGAGGAGGAGGAGGAGGACACGGCAGCCCTCTTGGGGGTTCCTTTTGGGGTCGCCTTAGGGCGTCTTGGGAGCTTCTTCGTGGCCTTTGCGGGCACCTTGGGGGTCTTGCGGTCGCGTTGGGCTGCCTGGAAGGGAGCCATCTTGAGCTGTGTTGGGGCCCCCTGGACCAGCTTGATTTCTTTGGCCCTCCGCTGGGCGATCGCGCGCGTCGTGGGGATGGACGTCTGGTGCTAGGCCCTCGTCGCCGTGGGCGGCGGCCTTGAGGGTCCTTCCCTCCTCGCCATACTTTGGATGTGTTTCCGTATGTTTTTGCATTGTTTCGCATCTTTTCGTGCCCGTACTTCCGCGTTGCACATATTTCGCACTTGCGTTTCGCGGACCTCGCCTGGCTTGTTCTTTCGACCCGTATTCATTTTACAATCGTGATGTCGTGTCAGACGCGTACTTGCATTTTTTCCTTACTTTGCCAACATCGAGGATCTTCCTGTCTACCCGGCCTCGAATCTCATGAGTCGAAGGACGGTCTCCACAACAACTTCTATGTTTTGTTACGCGGCTTCATCGCGATGTTTGCGCGGCGGCCCACGATGCCTCTACGAGCGGCCCGCCGTGCGTTTTTCCCGTGCCGCGCGCGGAGGTTTGGAAGTACGGCCCGCATCGCGAAGAGCGACAATGAAGTCCGACATTCGAAGAAGGCAAAAACGGCATAAACATAAACTTTTGGCGCTCCGCGCGTATTTATTGGATCCGCGCTGGGCCCCCCCTGGCGGCGCCGCTTCCGGCGCCGCCTCTAGCGCGCCCCGCGCGCCAGGGAGCTGGGTCCAGCGCAGATCCAAGAAATCCGCTCGGAGGCATCTGGAAGAGCGACAGTGAAGGCCGACATGACAGCCGAGCAGTTTGTCCAGGCCTCCCAGATGGGGTCGGAGTCGATGGTGTCGGTGGATCGCGCCGCATCGCCGATGCATCGCTGGTGCGGCTCGATGTGGAGCCCGATTTCCTTGACGTCGACGTCGCCGATGCAGTGACCACGTCGACGATGCATCGCCGGTGCATCGCCGATGCATCGCCGATGCATCGCCGAGGTATCGGCGATGCGGCGCGATCGCCCGACCCCAATTATTCCGACCCCATCAGGGAGGGCTCTAGTTTGGAAATTAATGTTCGAGGGGATTTGGGAGAAAGCAAAAATAGCAGGCCCCCCGCAGTCTTTCATGGACCCTCCATGTCTGCCTTGGCCGTCCCCGGTGTCCCCGACAGTTCTCAATACACAGCCGTCCTCGCGAGGGCCCTGGGTCAAATCACGCGCGCGCGTGCCTTCGCGTTTGATCCTTGGCGCTCCTGGGGGCCCTCGTGCGACCTGTTGGAGCTCCTGTGGATACCATTCCCCTCGTCTTCTGTCCCCCCGCGCATTGCGATAACAAGCCCTCTTGTGCCCCTCCGTCGGTCCACGCCGCATGGTAACAGGCTAATTATCAGGAAGACAAAAGGTGGGGGCGGAGGAGGAGGAGGAGGAGGAGGAGGAGGAGGAGGAGGAGGAACAGGTGAAGGGGGAGACGAACGCAGCTCATCGCGGCAGGCGTTGTCCAGGAGTCTATCACAATTCTTCAGCGCTCGCGAAGCGCGCGCGCGAAGAGGGGGAAGGAAAGTGGGATGAGGAGCAGCAGGCACCGAGACAGAGAAGGACGCAAAACAGGACGAGGAGGGGTGCAGGGAGGAGCGTGAAGGTGGAGTGGCCACCCGAGTTGGGGCAGGAACGTGATGAGGATAACGCAAGATCCTTCGGCTAGAATCCACGCGCGCGAAACGTGCGTGTGGTTGTATTCCACAGTTTCATTTGTGTGTGTGTGTGTGAATGTGCTGTGATCTATGTATGTGTATGCATGTATGTGTCTATGCTTGTATGCACGTATGTATATATGTTTGCATGGATGCATGTATGTATATATGTATGCATGCATGTATGTACGTATATATGAATGTATGTACGCGCGTATGTAAGCATGTAAGTATGTATGTATGTGTGTATGTATGTATATGCATGTGGGTAGGTCGGTCGGTCTGCATGTCTGTATGCGCGTTTTTCAACGCGTGTATGTATGCATGCATGCACGTGTATATATATACATATCTATATGCATATATTTATATGTGTATATATAGATGTATGTATGTATGTATACATTTATATATATATATGAATATATGCATACATGTATGTATGCACGTATGTATGAATGTATGCCTGTGTGTATGTATATATGTATATATGTATGCATGTGTGTTTTTTCAGTGATGTATTCATGTATGCACGCATGTATGCATGCATGCATGTATGTACGTATGTATGTATGCATGTATGTATGCATGCGTGTATGTCCATATGCGCAACTATCGCAGGGATGTTCCAGACATCCGATGTTGCAATCCATTTATATATCTACATCTATATCTACATCCACATCTATATCTATATATGCATATGGATGTATATATATGTATATATATATATGTATATATGTATGTATGTATGTATGTATGTATATATATATATGTTCACATAGTCATACCTGTATATATCGCCATACCTATATATTTGTCTATATCCATATCCATATCCATATCTATATTTGCATAGCCATATCCATATCCACATTTATATCCATACCCATATCCATATCTATATATATTTCTATATTTCCATGTATTGATGTATGTATATGTATGTTCATAGATACATATATATATATATGTGTACACACAATTATATATACATGTATATGTATGTGTATATATACATATGTCTATATGTATATGTATATGTATATGTCTATGTATATGTATCCATTCAAACAAATTCGAATTCGGCCTTGTGGGTTTGCGTGGGCCCCCGGCTCCCCGAGCCTCCCGGGGGCTCCAAAACGGCACCGGAAGGCCCCCGGAGGGGTCCGAAACGGCGTCGGAGTTCCCCAGAAAAACCCAAGACGGCTTACGGAGGCCCCGAGACGACCCAAGACGGCTTTCAGGCGGCCCAAGATGTTCTCCAGACGGCCCCATACGCCCCAAAGACGCCCCTGGACGGCTCCGGGGGGGTCCGAGGGCTCCCCCAGGAGGGCTGCATCAAGCAAAAATGGCCACATTCCCTTCGTAAATGCACATTTTCAACAGATTCGACATTTTCCTTTACGAAGCGTCTAAGACAGCCCCAGAGGCCTCCAAGATTGCCCAAGACGGCCCCCAAGAGGGCCCAAAGATGGCTCAGACGGCCCCAGGACGGCCCAAGGGGCGCCCAAGACGGCCCAAGAGGACCCCAAGAGGTGCCCAAAAGGGGCCCAAGAGAGCCCAAGATGGCCCCAAGACGGCCCAAGTGGCGCCCAAGGTGGCCCAAGACGGCCCCAAGACGGCCCAAGAGGCGCCATACACGGCCCAAGAGGGCCCCGAGGAGCCCCCAACAGGCCCAAAAGAGCCCCCATAGAGCTCCCAAACGGCCCCCTAGAGGCCTCAAAACTGCCTCCAAGAGAGAGGGGCGGACGAGAGGCGAGAGGCCCTTCGCAGGCGCAAAAGAACAATGTTTTACACTCCCGTGGCCCTGGCGCTGCCCGTCTGCGCTCCCTATTTTGCCGCGACGCCGTTCCGACGCTTCCGACGCGGCCCGAGACGGCGCCGCGTTTGACCCGACCCGCTCCCGCGTCCGCCGCGATCCCGACGCGTATCTTCCAACGCTGCTCTGGCTTGGTCTCTTGAATTTTTGCCTCTTGCGAAGCTCGAACACTTCGGCCCCCGCTTCGGGGCATTGGGGGCGCTCAGTGCGGGAACAGCACCAGAACAAGCTTCACAGGATCTACGGCAGTCGCTGGCAGCGTCGCACAACCCAGCACTCGCAACCAAACTTCGATCCGCGCAACTCCGTGGATTTAATCCACGGGTCCACACTAGTATGTATAGGTATATGTATGTGTTTAGGTATATACATAAGTATGTATATGTATGTATGTATGTATGTATGTATGTATGTATGCATGTATGTATGTATGTATGTATGCATGTATACATGTATACATGTATACATGCATGCATGCATGCATGCATGCATGCATACATACATACATGCATGCATGCATGTATGTATGTATATATGTATGTATGTATGTATGTATGTATGCATGTATGTATGTATGTATGTATGTATGTATGTATGTATGTATGTATGTATGTATGTATGTATGTATGTATGTGTATATATATGTATACATATACACACATATATGTATATGCATGCATGAATGTTTGCATGTATGTGTGTATATATATGTATATATATATATATATATATATATATATTTATATAGTATACACACGGCCCCCTGGAGGTCCGGGGCCCTTCCCAAGGCTGATCTTGCATCCAGGCTCGCCTTCTGACCGCCCCAGGGCCCGAAGCGGGCCTCCCAGGGGCCCCAGGTCGAGGCAACGCTGCCAGCATGGCACAGAGCCGCGCAGAGTCGCGACGCCTGCGCCCGATGCCGCGCGGATCTGCCTCCCCGTCGGCCCCTCCCCGGCCGGCCCTGCAGGGCCCCGCCCGCGGCCGCCTGGGCTGCTCTCCGCTCCCGCCGCCGCTCGGCGGCCGCCTGCCGCTGTGCGGCTCTCTGGCCCCGCGCGGCGGCGGCGCCCGGCTCCAGCTGCCGGGGGGCGCGAGGAAAAGGGTGGCCCGCGGGCGCGCGGCGCGCCTCGCCAGGCGTGGGGCTGGGGCAGGGGCGGGGCGCCAGCGAGGCACGGCAAGACGGCACGCACGGGCCACCGGCGCCGCCGTTTGCCCTCGAAGGGCAAGCAACGGCACGAGCATAAACTCTTGGCGCTCCGCGCGGATTTCTTGGATCCGCGCTGGGCCCCCCCCCCCTGGCGCGCGGAGCGCGACAGTTTATGCTAATGCTGTTTTTCGTTCTTCCGTGCCCGACCTCCCTCTGCCTCCACGGGCAGCAGAAGGCCGCCCCCCAGGGGAGGAGAGGGCACCAGTGCCGCTACCCTCGTCGCCACGGCTGGACTCCGCTCCGAGGCTCTTCGGAGGTCCGCTAAAGGGTGCTCGGGTCGGCGCTGGGCCTCCCTCCCCACACGCCTGCCCCAGCGCGGAGGAGGAGGAAGGAAGGAGCAGGAGCAGGAGCAGGAGCAGGAGCAGGAGCAGGAGCAGGAGCAGCAGCAGGAGCAGGCGGAGGTGGAGGAGGAGGAGGAGGAGGAGGAAGAGGAAGAGGAGGAGGAGGAGGAGTTGGAGGAGGAGGAGGATTATTAAGAATTACAAGAAAATAAGAATAATGTCACGAATGACAATAATACTCAGGATCGTAATGATGAGAGTTATAAAAGTACTAGAAATAATAATTCTCGTAAGAAGAAGCACAAACATAATACGAATACTAATAATCGTAAGATTAGAAGAAACAGCATCATCATATTACGAACCAGACAATTCTGAATAGTACTATTACGAATACGAGTAAGAACAATACGACTATTAGTAGTAACAATAAGCATCGTGCTACTACTGATAGCAATAACCATGATGATAATAAGACGAAACAGCGTTATACTAGTACGCATCGTACAATTACTCATAATACTGCTAAGAAGAATCATCATATTCATTGGAATAATATTAATAACAACACGAAGAAGACGAGTCATACTACGACTACTACTACTACTACTACTACTACTACTACTACTACTACTACTACTACTACTACTACTACGACTACGACTACGACTACGACTACGACTACTACTACTACTACTACTACTACTACTACTACGTCATACGAATAATGAACATTATAAACATAACAATACCGCAAGGATTCGGAGTCATAAGAATAATGCGAACACTATCAAGCATATTGCTAATGATAATTTTAAACATATTAGTAATGCTACTATTCGTAACGCGAATATTCTTTACGCTTCGCGTATCCCCACCAGCCCATCTCACAGCAGCAACTCTTGCGAAGCATGCCGACAGTCGTGTGTTTCAGGCGTGTGTCCGCTTGGCCCCGCATGTCTCCCCTGTTCCTCCTTCCTCCCGCCTCCTTGTACATCCTCCTTGTGGGGGGAGCGGGAGAAGGACGAGGCGGAGGAGGAGGGAGAGAAAGCGCTCCTCGTGGAGTCGTTTGGGGTTTCTCGTCCTGGTGTGAGTCGTTCGGGCCCTTCTTCCTGGTGTGAGTCGTTCGGGCTCTTCGTCGTTCGGGCTGTCCTGGTGTGAGTCGTTCGGGCTTCTCGTGGTGTGAGTTGTTCGGGCCCCTCGTCCTGGTGTGAGTCGTTCGGGCTCTCCTGGTGTGACTCGTGGTGTGAGTCGTTCGGGTGTGAGTCGTTCTTCGGTGTGAGTCGTTCGGGCTCTTCGTGGTGTGAGTCGTTCGGGCTCTTCGTCCTGGTGTGAGTCGTTCGGGCTTCTCGTGGTGTGAGTTGTTCGGGCCCCTCGTCCTGGTGTGAGTCGTTCGGGGCCCTCGTCCTGGTGTGACTCGTTCCGGCTCCTCGTGGTGTGAGTCGTTCGGGGCCCGCGTCGTGGTGTGAGTCGTTCGGGCTCCGCGTGGTGTGAGTCGTTCGGGCGCCTCGTCCTGGTGTGAGTCGTTCGGGCCCTTCTTCCTGGTTTGAGTCGTTCGGGCTCTTCGTCCTGGCGTGAGTCGTTCGGGCTTCTCGTGGTGTGAGTTGTTGGGGCCCTTCGTCCTGGTGTGAGTCGTTCGGGCTCCTCCTCCTGGTGTGAGTCGTTCAGGCTCCTCGTGGTGTGAGTCGTTCGGGGCCCTCGTCCTGGTGTGAGTCGTTCGGGCTCCTC